TGTTCCCGTGTTGTCAATGGTTGGTTTGCTGGGGCCTTTTCAGGAATCAACTTGGCCTGGAAGGCAGCCAGTTTCCAGTCAATGAGAGCCCCAATGTCTGCCATCAGTTCATCTTTACCGCTCCTAGAATTGGAGGCAGTAGGTGCTTGTTGTGTGGGCAAAGTGGCCACCTGGGTATTAGAGCGTTCCTGCATCTTTTTTCCGGCAACTTTTTCGAGAACCTGGAGGTGAAAGTCAATTTGCTGACCGAGCTCTACGTCTCCATGAGAACGCATTTCGTGGGCTAGTGTTTCCAGGCCCGGAAGGTTCTTCTTTGCCCTGGTGTTGCTGGGCGTTACAGAAGGATCGAACAGGTCTTCTTCTGTTTCAGCCCCTGTTACACTTTCTCCTCCAGAGGCTGCAACTGGAACCGCCGTAAATTTAGCCGCCACAACCGATGTACTCGGAGGCTTCGCTTTGCGTCTTCGACCTCATACAGATGTAAGCGACACGAACAAACTATCAGAACCCCCATCACCATCGCTCTCACCGGCCTGACTGCTCGTATTATTAGGTCGCTTAAAACGCCCACGCTTGTCTCACGTCGATATTATTGGTATTTCCGACACGGCTCCTTCTTTTTGAACTTGGCCCTCTGATGTTATGGGGCAAGCGGTTAACGCTGGTGCATCACCGCGATGCAGTGGATTGCCCCCCCCCCCCCAGATACGTTGGGGCTGCCACAGAGCCTATTTAGGCTACTAGGGGTGGATTCCCCGCCAACATTAGGGTTGGCAGGACCACCCTGGGGAGTATTTTTTTGTCGCACTGCATGTTTTTATTTCCTTTTATACAGGGTATGGTCCCTGAACCCCTTCCCCCCCAAGGCTTGGGACTGGGCTCCCCCCCAGCCATTCATCCCCTCGGCACCCTAGACCTTGGGATTAGGGTTATTTTTGAAGAGGTTTTCTTCCTCGCGGCCCTGCGAGGGCCCCCGGGCCCGGGTTACGGGCTTACGGGTTGTCCGGCATTGGTGCGCTTGGCACATCGCCGCACAGAGATCGCCCGGAATCGGTGCGCTTGGCACATTACCGCGCGGGGTCACCCAGCATTGGTGCGCTTGGCACATCGCCGCGTATGTTGCATCCCCTGTCCACTCTAATCAAAGAGCGATACCGGGAGCAATAACAAGCCTGTAAGGCCCATCTCTTAGGGCGTTACGCCCCGAGCGTTTCTGGTCCGAAAGGAACACGGGTACGCCCAACCCCGGCCAGTTTTGGTCCGCGGCAGTTTCCCACTACCACCCATATCTGGGTGGCGTTCCCCAATCCGCCAACTGGGGACGCGCCCGATGGGAGCTCTGGCTGACTACTTTGGCCTTGTCTGTTACCAATCGCGATGTCTTAGTGCCGTCCCTTTTTGCACTTACGAAATATACAGCAGCGGAATACACCTTTTCACTCGCGTCACAAAAAATGTGTAACTCCCCTTCTCCAGATGGCGTGGCAGGTATGTACCTAGCTGTAAGTTATTTATAAGTGATAACCATGTCACGTGATGCTCGGTTGTGATGGGGTCGTCCCAATCTATCCCACTACGCCATATTTCCTGTATAAGACATTTGCCTATCATCGTGATAGGCGAAACTAAACCTAGCGGGTCAAATACCGACATTACTGCGCTGGTTTCCTGACGCTTGGTAGGTAGTGTGTTACCTCTAATTACACTCGTGGGTATGTTTCTAAGATTGACATTGAAGCCTAACGTGTCGCGTTTGTGATTCCAAATAAAACCTAATGTCCTCTCCGAATCACTTTTACCTAGCGTGGTTGTGTCGCTTCTACGCGTATCAGTGACGTCGCTAATTACCTCGGGCTCATTCGACGCCCACCCCCGTAACTAGAAGGATGCGTTTCTATGTACTTTGCACATATCATTTACTATTGACTTCGCCTCGCTTTCGGAGTTGAACGCGCCTAAGTAGTCGTCCATATAAAAGTTACGTACTGTAGCCTTCGCGACCTCGGGATGTTGATGACTGTGATTTTCTGCGTTTTCATTTTTTACATAGATGGCCGTGCATGGTAATGATGCCGCCCCGAATATCGACGTCGTTACGTCATCCGATACTCTTGCGGTGGCCCCTCTCTATAAATCGTAAGCTATCACGGTCCTCTTGTATAATTTTTACTTGTAAAAACATTTCTTTTATGTCGGCTACGACAGCAATACGACCCTCTCTAAACCTAATTAATAGGCCGAATAACGACTGTAGTAAGTCAGGGCCTGTTAATAACGCGTCGTTTAGGCTTTTCGGACACTAACCTTATTTTGCCCTTCTGAGGGTGTACGAGTGCGAAATGCGGCAAGTACCAGCTGCGTGGCGACTACTTTTTCAGCATAGCCTGCTTCTATAAGATTGTTTACCTGCTTACTATATTCGGTTTTTAGGTTTTCATTTTTATCGAATTTATTTTCTAAGCTATATAGACGACTGAGGGCTTGTTTTTTATTGTTTGGCATCTCCTCAGTGTGTGTTCGCCAGAGTAAGCCCGCTTCGTACCTATTGCTATTGTCCGTTTTTTTACAAGTCTTATCTAGCTGATCCGGGCCAGATGTCGGTCGGCGTGTCTGTATTCCTAGAGATTCTATGCTAAAGAATAGAAAAGAATAAAAAAAAGAATATAATAAAGAAATTCTTATGAGCTCTTATGCGGGGTCGTCGGTTTGTGTGGGCCGTACGTGATTAATTATCGCGATAGTATAACCGGGCCGTCCGTTGCGACCATGCAACACCCACCCTAATTTAGTTAAAGATGCTAAGGGCTGGTTTTTATTACCGACGCGAAATTGCCCGGACGTAATTAAGTGACAGTTGTCTCGGCCTATCAATATGGTCAGTTGCCCCTGTTCGTAACATAGATCGTCCTCTATCTCATTTAGGTGGTTGCACTGTTGCACTAACTCTCTGCTCACCTTTTGTGGCGATACATTTAAGTTCTCTATTGTGCTCGCATTTATAGTTTCTAAGTTTCTGTTATATAAACCGCGAATGGATAATTTCACGTGACATGATTCTGTGTCGTTTATTTGATTACCCCCTACCTCTTCTAACGTCAAGAGCCGTCCTCGCCCCCTAGGAAAAATCATGCCATGCCATGCCCCTTTCGATCAACGTCATAGTCCAGCGGTCGGCAACGCGCGGCCCACGGACGTTCTACTTTCGGCCCGTGAATGTTATGTAAATAAATCCTAATAATATCAAAATAGATGCATAAACGAACCACAAACATATAGCGTATAGCTATAGTCAATATTGTATAACGCGCTTCGCTCTGCCCGCGGATGAAATGTGCATATATCAGAGATTAGTTTTTTTTTACCTTGAAGCCTGACATTTAGCGTATTTAACATAACTGTAACATTAAAAGTATTATGTTGTAGCAAACATTATAAGTGTAAAATAAATAGGAATCTCGGACTATCTGTCCGCCACGCGCGAACCCCGCACAACCGTATAGTAGTGTGGAACCCGCTTCGCTTGGCTCGCGAATGAACAATAATTAATGAACGACGCGTGGGAGGGGCGCGGGCGGAACAAACGAACGTTAGCGAGGACAGTTGCTTTCCGCTCTCCGTCAATTACCTACTTTGATGCGTGATTAGTGAAACAATTTCATTTGTTGCGTTTTTGTTTTGATTTCGGTAAGTGTGAGATTACTTTTTATTATACACTTTTGATAGGTACCGATCTACGTAAGCTTGGTCTGGTAATAATGCTTTTATTGTTACAGTTGATAATGGCTTCTAAAAAAAGGAAGTTAGCAGAAGAAAATAGGGTATTTAACGATGCATGGACAGATTTATACTTTTTTATTAATTGCAATGGCAAACCGCTATGCTTAATATGCCAAAAAACCCTTACTATACAAAAAGAATATAATGTCAAACGCCACTATGATAGCGAGCATAAAGCTAAATTTGCATGCGTAGTGGGTGAATCACGAAAAAATAAAATTAACGCACTGAAATCTTCAGTTAAGAATCAACAAAATGTTTTTAAGGTTCAAGTACAAAGTAACGAGTCGAATATACGTGCAAGTTTAAGGGTAGCGGAAATTCTTGCGAAGTCTGGCCGACCATTTACCGACAGCGAACTTATAAAACAATGTGCCCCGACCTAAAAAAAAAATTTGAAAATATAAGTCTTTCTGCAAGAACGTGTACCCGGCGAACTGAAGATTTGGGCGATAATTGATGTCAGCAACTCCGGGAAAAAGCACAACAATTTGAATGGTTCTCTTTAGCTACCGATGAAAGTAATGATGTTACTGATACTGCCCAGCTTTTAATATTTGTTCGCGGAATCGATAAGAACTTTAATGTCTATGAGGAGCTTTTACATTTATGTAGTTTGAAGGGCACGACTACCGGAGAAGATTTGTTTTGTAACTTAGAACAAGCGCTAGTATCAATGCAATTACCATGGGAAAAATTGGTAAGTGTTACAACTGACGGAGGCAGGAACATGAGTGGACAAAATAAGGGTTTGGTAGGTAGAATCAAATCGAAACTGGCAGAGATAGGATGTCCCATCCCATTATTTTTCCATTGCATCATCCACCAAGAAGCGTTATGTTCCAAGGTCGTATCATGGAAAGAAGTAATGGACATCGTGGTATCGACTGTAAACTACATCAGAAAAAATGGATTGACTCATCGTCAATTTCAACAGTTTCTGTCAGATACGGAAGCAAATCATCGAGATGTTGTTTATTATTCTGAAGTGCGATGGTTAAGTAGAGGCGCAGTGCTAAAAAGATTTTTTGATCTCAGAAAAGAAATCAATACTTTTATGAATGAAAAAGGCAAATCTATTCCAGAGCTGACAGACACTCAATGGTTAATAGACCTTGGATTTTTGACTGATGTAACTCATGAATTAAATACGCTAAATGTGAGGCTTCAAGGTAAAAAAAAAACTAATTTCTGATATGTACACAGACGTAAAAGCATTTCAAATGAAAATTAAACTCTTTATAAAACATATTGACGAAAAAAAGTTGGATCATTTTCCGAATTGTAAAGAGGCTGTTGAGGAAGCTGGAATTAATTTTCATTGGAAAATTGATAAAATGAAGGATATTTTAATACAACTGCAATCTCAATTCAGCGACAGATTTGGTGATTTTGAAAAAGTTTCAAGTAAACTGAAGGTGTTTGCAAACCCTTTTTCATGTGATATTGAGGAAGTACCGAGTAATTTACAAATGAACATGATTGATCTCCAATCTAATGATGTTCTTAAAAGCACTTTCTATGAACTCAAAGATCTTGTTAAGTTTTATGGTAGCTTGCCTTCTGATTTTGACGAATTGAAAAAGTTTGCTCAGCAGTTCATTACAATTTTTGGTAGCACTTATTTATGCGAACAAACTTTTTCAATTGTCAATTACAGAAAAAATAAATGTTCATCTCGTCTCACAGATGAGCATTTGAGAGCCATTCTACGAATTGCAACTACAAATATGACAGCTAACATACAAGAAATAGCCTCCCAAATACAACCTCAGACATCACACTGAAAGTATATTAGTAATTTTGTAGTTTTAATTTCTATTTTAATTCCGTTATTTTCTAGCTATAAACGTAATGTAATTACATGTACGAATTAAATTCCGTATGTTTTAACAATTTGAATGGCATTTTCATTTTTTCTATGGGATTTGATGAATAAATAAGTGTGTAAATCACAAGTGCGGCCCGCCTTTAGTTTATTTTGCCACCTAGTGGCCCTTGCCCGCCAAAAGGTTGCCGACCGCTGTCATAGTCGATCCTTTATCTAACAAGGCGTATGTGCTAGTTGTTACTATTGGACCGTTTATCTCGACCGGCACTATCTTTAGGTAGGTGTTAGACGCATGTACGTGATTTATTGAGCTTACGTTGCCGTGGTTGATTGTCGGTTTGTTATCGCTACCGTGTAACATTTTATGGTGTGACGCTTCACACCGTTTACCCCGCAAGGTACGTATTTGCATTTGACCGGTCGCCTGTGTGACTTGCCACGGCATCGAAAACACATCCTGTTGCGCTTGGCCGCGTCCCATCTTTCGCTCACGGCTAATTTAGCAAAGTCTGCACATTTTATGAAATTGTGGTTACCAGAACACATCGTGAATGCGTCATGTGATTCAACCGATAACTGGACTATCGGTCGTGATGGATGTGGTTTCGATGTCTGCCTTTTTTGTACGGTTTATTTATGGCTGCTATCGTTTTACGCGGCGAGTTGTCAATGCTTTCCGATCGGTCGCACGAGCTGTCGTTGCTCTCGTCGCGGTGCCGTATGTGGCGCCGATTTCGAACGTGGACCGTGCTCACCACGCGTGTCTTCATTTTATTAACCTTGCGGTCGTCCCGTGTTGTTTCGTATGCAAACATCGCGCCGCACTGGTCTGCCATATCGTTTAAAAATCTAGATAGCAGTTCTAACTCCGGCGCTTCGGTGCGCTTCGATTTAAATTCGTACCATTTATATTTTAAAATAATACTTAGCTTTTCTACAACCCTACTTACTATCTCAGGCGAGTAGAGATATTGCGGCTGATTGAGTGATTTTATTGCTGCTACTGTGTATGATATTTTGCTCGCGAAACTACCTATATTGTGCCCGTCTTCAGTCATGCGAGGCATGTGTTTTATTTTTTCTAATTCGGAGAGTATTAATAATTCCGGCTTTCCGTAACGCCTTTCTAACGTATTTACGACTTCATATGAGTCTGGCACTGTAAATAGTAATGCTCTAACCGTTTCGCGAGCCGCGCCTCTTAACGCTTTGCGTAACCTGGCTACGTTTTGTACGTCAGTAAACATGCCTACTGTGTCGTTGAAGACGGATTTGAAAACCATCCACTCTGAAATCGCCCCGTCGAAATGAGGTAACTCGTGGATGTATTTCGGTGCCGTTGAGTCCGATTTGCCTGAATTTACCGCTTGAACAATCGCGTTGGCCAGCATCGCCATGTCGCTACTATTGTTGTTAGTATACGTCACGTCTTTACCAATGCGCGATTCGTGGTTGTTCGTGTTAGGTGGCCGTGCGTTTGGCCCCGAGGGTCGTGCTTTACCTAATATTGCAGGTCTATCGTTTACATACTGCTCCGAAATCCAACCTTCAACATGCGACTCTTCTACTCTGGACGGCGGTTCAGCGTCGTTGGAGTTTTCTAGCTCTATTCTGGCTATTTACAAAAGACTTAAGGCAGCTGCGGCTGCCGCCCTAGCCTGTGCTAATGTGGAATTATGTAACTCTAATTCGGCTTTTAAAATAGATAATCGACTATTCACCCTGTCGTCGGGGACATTTACTATTGTGCCCGGCGTACTCCTATCCTGCGTATTTAAATCATAGATTTAAACGGATCTATTTTCGATTACTGCTCCCGTCACGTTAATGTTACTATGCGTGCAACTGTCACCGTTTGTATGCTCTGTACCCGTGCCCTTACTCCACGTACTTGTTTCTGTTGAACTCGTCTGCCCCGACGCCGGCGTGGCGTCTGTGGTAGGCGTGGATTTTCCTGAAGGTAATACACGTGTGTTTTCCATTGCGCGCGAGGGACCCTAATCCTACTAATTACTTAAATTTAACACTTTCACTTTATCACTTTCTCTTAGAGTTTCTACCCTACCTACCTAACTGGTCTGGTCCGCGGTAGGAGTACCGCGGTGATGCCGGACCAGGGATGGAAACTAATGAGGAAAGGAAGGTGGATACCTCCCGGTAGAGGGCGCGGGCGTTCACGGGTGCATCAAAGTGCGGTGGGAGTATTCCACACTTAACGTTGCGTGCCAACCTGTGGCCCCAGAACGTAACTGCACCTTGCCGGCGGGGTCTATAATACCTGAAAGTACGTTCTTGATGGCAGTTAACACCGCAAGGCTGCCTCGTACTTGTGTTGTTTGCTTCCAAGTAATTAGCAGTGGTTATGTATGACCAACAACTAACACTCGCGCGTTCTTACTTCTTTCTTGCTTTCCGACGTGGAGAAATGGAAACTTCTTGCTTTCTTGACGCGGAGAGATGTTAACTTCTTGCTTCAGGCTTGTTGCAGGGATCAGGAACTCGAAGGACCATTAAACGAATTGGGATCCGCTACTCGTTTGACCATTAAACGAAGTGGGAGCTTTATGCAGGGCTCCGTATCGTTCAAACACTAACTTCTTCTTGACCATAGGATAATGAAGTTAAATGAAACTATTGTTTATATAAAAACAAGAGCGGCTTGTGAAGTGTAGCTTGTTGAGGCAGTGTAGAGATGTCTGTTGGGCTGGATGCAGAGCGAACGATGAGCTAATGACGAGTAATGAGCTGGTAATGATTTGGGCCGCTCACAGCATGCCTTTTATTTCGTTCGGTCAGTTGCACAACTCGTGCAAGCGCCCGTGAGGCGCATATGCTCCATTTGACCAATGAACGGACAGGAGGGAAGCGTGCGGGGATGTGTGAAGTATGACTCATAATTTATTTCACAATTATACATTTTCATACAACAAATCTTTGCAAACAATTATTAATAAGTATGTAACACACTATAAGACATACAACTAATCTCTATAAACAGCTACTAATAAGTATGTGGCACAATATAAGACATACAGCAAATCTTTAAAACAACTACTTATAAGTATGTAACAAACATTATAAACCACACAACACTTTGCATATGCATACAAACATTAATTATGTATTTGACAAACACTATAAAGACATATAACAAATCTTTATTTGACAATAACTACTACAAATACATAGGTGACAATCACTATAAAGATATACAACAACTCTTACCTATAGGTATACAAAAACATTAATAAGCTTACGTACAATTGTAAGCTTACGTGACTAAAACTTAAATAACTACATAGATCGTCTTAAAGGACATTCAACATTAATAACGTCTTAAATCTAGGCTATTTACAACACTTACTCACACTCTACTTACATTCACTACACTTAACGCCTGAACAAGCCTTGTTGTCCTTCTTCGCTTCTGAACCAGGTAAGTCGCATTAAGTACCTAATCTATATATATTTAATATCCATAGGCATTTGAGCCCCACACTTAGTAGTCCGTCGAATCTACAGCTGTATGGGCCTCTGTATAGTCGACCGTCGGGTGTCGTCGCCCCCCCCCCTCAGCGTGTGGAGAGGAACTTCACGGCCACTCAGCAGTCAGCTAGACCCTTCTCACCCCCGTTAGCTGAGTGGCCACGGCTGAGGTACCACCGTCCCCCCTTTGATGGAGGCAGCCCTAGCTAGCTGCCGCCCTAGCTCCCACCACGGACGCCTCCACTGAGCCTTTGAGCCGTCAACAGTCCACTTGTCAAACTGTTCTGTTGCCGACGGCCTCAGTGAAGGCGTACAACCCGAGTGGCGACTGTTAGCCGCTCGCGCTCTATTGGATTCGGGTTCACAATGCTGTGTGGCCTCCACTTGGTTGGTGGGAAGATTAGGGCTCCTCGGGAACGTTGAATTACGCTGTCAAGGACTATTAGATTTGGTTTGGTCGAGCACTTAATTAATAATGCTTTAAATTAAAATAAAAATGCTTTGGGTTTTCCGCGAAATGTTTCATAGTTGTAGCGGTTGTTAGTAAAAAGGCGAATTGAATGATGTGCTCTTTGAATGCGTGTGCATATGGTTTTGTAAATGTATTTGATCATTGTGTTTGCTTTGTTGAAAAAGAAAATTGAAATAGAATAACCCTATTTGTGCCGAATGGAATAAGAATCATTCCTCTCTTTGTTTTCACATTTTTGTTGGCACTGTAGAAGATATTTATTTGGAGGGAGAAATGGTGCTGTCTCTTGAGTTTGTCGTTTTGTTTGGTTTGTCTGTTTGATCTATGCGCATCGGTGAATTAATTTGTTTGAATTAATTCCGTAGTTGAACATTGGTGCTTTTGAAATTTGGTTGAAATATGAGCATAGGACTAAGTGTCTGAAAGGGCTAGCTAGTTGTGAGATTATCAGATTGAAATCAGCTGCCGCACAATTGAGTAAATTATTATATGGTGGATGGCTTGGTCTTGCCTGCTTGCTTGAAAAATTCATACTAAGGACTATCTGTGCGTTTCGTTTGGCTCTCCACAGACGCCGTTCATGTGGAACTGGTGGGTGCCCTCTGCACTGAAGCTTAGGTGATCACGCTGGGCCGCTTCGTATCGCGTCGCTGTTTGCAGACCTGATCCGATCGGACTGCGGAACGAATCATACAGGCACAGAAAGGTGTTTGAAAGAGGTCGTCGGACTTCTGTCCAGTAACAGGACTTATTTAGGTGCTGCGATGTCCAGGAAGGGCATCCAGTGCAGGTTCGACCCTCCGGCTTGCTCCCATTGGGGCGGTATTTTTGAGGCGATGGTTAATTTTGCAAGATCTGATGGGGTGCCTAAGGTGGCCTGGTTTCGGTTGTAGATTCGGTCTTGCAACGTGCCGTCGCGACCCTGTCCCGCTTGCCGATTTGCTCGCGGACATAAGTCCTTATGTCCGGGACAGGGGTTTGTTTAGGCCCAAAAATGG